TTTTTTAGATTCAATTGTTAATAGTTGTGATTGTATTGCTGTTTTAATGTTCATGGTGTTGATTTTCTTTTTCTAAGTAAGTCCCTTTAACATTTCATACACTAATGGCTTGGTGATGATGAACTCCTTTAGCTTTATCTTGTCTGGGAAGCACTTTATCTGCTCCTCCATTCTAAATGGTAGCTTTGCTGGATAGAGGAATCTAGGTTGTAGGTCCTTGCTTTTCATCACTTTGAGTACTTCTTGCCAGTCCCTTCTAGCTTGCAAAGTTTCTGTTGAGAAATCAGCTGATTGTCTTAGGGGAACGTCTTTGTAGGTAACTGCTTTTGTTTTTAAGATTCTCTCTTTGTTTTTAATCTTGGCATTTTAATCATGATGTGTCTTGGTGTGGGCCTCTTTGGGCCCATCTTGTTTGGGACTCTCTGTGCTTTTTAGGCTTGTATGCCTATTGCTTTCACCAAATTAGGGAAGTTTTCTTTTATTATTTTTTCAAATAAGCTGTCAAGTTCTTACATTTCCTCTTCTCCTTCTGGCACCCCCGTGATTCAGATGTTGGTACGTTTGAAGACATCCCAGAGGGTCCTTAGCCTCTCCTCATGTTTTTGGATTCTTCTTTCTTCTTGCTGTTTGTTTTTTTGTTACAAAAATTAACCCATTTATTCTAGGCTAGCAATGTTTCAAACTGTGGAGCTTCTACTGGTCTTTCAGGTCCTTCCGTCTGCTGATGGCCAACTTGGCTGTGACGGCAGAAGCGGTGCTGGAGGTCCCGGCACCACCCGTGGCTGTTTTCACGCAGGAGCCGCAGTGCTGGGTCCCCGCGGCTCGCCTCTTCATCCTGGTGTTGCCACAGAAGGAGCAAGTGTGCCTGGTGTGGTGGCTGATCCCAGTTTTCCTCACCACTCTCCTGAGGCAGGGGCCGTAATGGACGCTCTCTTTACCAACGATTCTTTCTGGGTACATTGAACCATTTCACTGCAAAGTAGGTCGGAACCCAGGAGGTGGTTCTTGCTGTTTTGATTGAATATTTTTTTCCTCCTTATGTTCCAAATCGTTGATTTGATTCTCGGCTTCATCCCCTCCACTTAGAGGTTAGGTTTTTAGGTTCCTGGTAGGTTTTTCTGTATTTCACTTAGTGGAACCTTCATTTCTGCCTGGGTCTTTTTTACGGTGTTGAAGTACCCAGTGAGTTCCTTAAGCATCCTGATCACCAGTGTATTCAGCTCTGCACCTGAAATAGTTTGCCTAACTCCATTTTGCTTAGTTCTTTTTCTGGAGTTTTGTTCTGTTCTTTCATTTGGGCCATATTTCTTTGTCTCCTCATTTTGGCAGCCTCCCTGTGTTTGTTTCTGTGTATTAGGAAGAGGTGTTTTGACTCACTGTCCTAGTAGTGTGGCCTATTGTAGAAAAGCACACTGGTAAGTTGGATGGGGCAGAGCCTTAGGTAATGGCCAGGGCGAGGTTATCAGGGTCACTGGTCTGTTGTTCTCTTGCTCTGTGTTGCGAGGAGGGCTCCAAGAGGGAACAGTGCTGCTGCCTGGCCTCTGGAGTTTGATCTGGAAGGAAGCTGTGTCCCCACACTCACCCTGATGCCAGTCACTTCAGTTTCTCCCTGTAGGCCACTGATGCTTTTCCAGCTGTTGTCATGGTGCTGAAGCCCATGGGGAGTGAGTCTGTGTAAGTACTAAGTCTGTCACGGGCCCTTTAAGGGCCCTGAGAATCCCATAGTTTCTTCTGCTGTCTCAACCCCCACTGGTTTTTATAGCCAGAAGTTATGGGGACTTACCTTTTTGGAGCTGGAACCCACGGCTGGGCGGTTTGGTGTGGGGCTCAGATCACTTGCTCCCGAGGTATCTCCTGATTTTTACCCACCACACGTGGGTGTGGGACCTCCTGTTCCCATCTCACGCCTCTCCGTGCCTCTCTGTGTCTCCCTGTGTCTCTGCCCCTCCTACCCATCTGGATGAATGTGGCTTCTTTAATTCCTTGGTTGTTGGACTTTCGTACAGCTTGATTTTCTGACCATTCTGGGTGATATTTGTTTTGTAGTCTAGTTGTCATTTTTGCTGTGGTTGTGTGAGGAGGTAAGCTGTGTTTACCTATGCCTCCATCCTGAGTGGAAGTCCAGCAAGTTTTCCATTATATGTATAATTTGAGTCCCATAGGAGAGCAGAGAGAGAAAGAGGCAGAAAGACTATTTGAAGAAATAATAGTCACAAACTTCCCAAGTTTGATAAAAATATAACTCTACACATCCAAGAAGTTCAGTGAACTCAAAGTAAAATAAGAATTTATCTTAGAATTTATCATAGACACATCATAATGAAACTATTGAAAATCAAAGACAGGGAATACTGAAAGCAGCGAGAGAGAAACAACTCATCACATACAAAGTTTCCTCAACAGGATTAGCAGCCATTTCTCATCAGTAGCCAGGGAGGCTAGAAGACAGGGGGTTGACCTTCAAAGTGCTGGAAGAAGTTTAACCAAGTTTAAATTTCTTGGTTAAAAGCTCATAAACCAAGAAGTTTATATCTGACAAAACTAACCTTCAGAAATAAAGGAGAAATAAAGACATTTACAGATAAAATGATGAGAATTCTTTCCCTACAAAAAAATACTAAAGGGAATACTGGGGTACAAAAAATACCCCAGTCCTTTAGGCTGAAATGGAAATACACTAGACAGTAGATTCAAACCACATAAAGGAAGAAAAATCAGCAGCAAAGGTAATTGTAGAGGTAGATAGAAAAAGCACTTTAAGTAGATATTTTCTTGTTTGTACTTTTGTCTCCTATATGATTTAAAAGGCCACTGCCTAAAGCAAAAATTGTAAATCTATGTTGATGGGCATACGACGTCCATAAAAAAGTAATATATATGACAACAGTAACACAAAGGAATGGTGGTAATCAAGCTGTATAGGAGCAAAGGTTTTTTAGGAAAATTTTATTTAGAGAGAGGGTAAGGAAGGGAGAGAAACATTGATGCGAGAGAGAAATGTCAATTGGTTGCTTTTTGTATGTGTCCTTATCGGGGACCGAACCTGCAACCCAGGTGTGTGCCCTGACCGGGAATCAAACCAGTGACCTTTTGCTTTGTGGGATGACGCCCAACCTACTGAGCCACACTGGTCAGGCTAGGAGCAAAGTTTTGCATTAAGTTGGTACAATTTTATAATCCTCATGGGAGCCACTAAGAAAATAACTGAAAAAATAGAGTAAAAGATTTGACAAGATAATTAAAATGCTACACTAGAAAGTATCTATTTAACATAAAAGAGGACAGTGTTGGGATAATAGAGGAACAAGAAATATAAGATATAGAAAAACAAATAGTAAAATGGCAGACATAGATCCTACCGTATTGGTAATTATGTTAAATAGAAAAGGATTAAACATCCCAATCGAAAAGCAGAGATCGGTGCCCTGGCTGGTGTAGCTCAGTGGGTTGAGCACCAGCCTGCGAACCGAAAGGTGGCTGGTTCCCTTCCCAGTCAGGGCGCACGCCTGGGCTGCGGGCCAGGGCTGCAGGCCAGGTCCCCGGTCGAGGGCGTGTAAGAGGCAACAATGCTCCTCTCACACACTGATGCTTCTCTTCCTCTTTTTTCTCCCTCCCTTCCCCTCTTGCTACAAAATAATAACATTTTTTAAAGATAGCAGAGTTTGATAGGATGGATAAACCACTATGATCTGACTGCATTTTGCACACAGAAGACACACTATGAGAAGGCACAACTAGGTAAAAGATGGAAGGAGATATACCACATAAACAGCAACCCAAAGACAGCTGGGATGACTATCTTAATATCAGACAAAATAGATTTCAAGACAGAAATGGTTCCTGGATGCAAGAGGTACCTTTTATAATGCTAAAAGGGCAACCTGTCGGGGAGATGCAGCCATTATAAACTTGCAGGCCCCACCAACAGGGACCGAAAATATGCAAAGCAGACGCTGACAGAGTTGAGGGGAACAGACAGTTCCAGAGTGACAGTCGATTTCAGCTCCTGCTTTCAGTGGTGGATAGACTCTCGAGGGGGAAATCGGCAAGGAGATGAAAGGCCTGGACGGCGCCGTAAACCCTCAGCGTCATCCGTAGGACGCTCCGCCCAGCACGTAGTACGCCCCGCCCAGTACGGCAGGGTGCATGCTCTTCTCGCACCTGGGACGTTCTCCAGCGTGAACCTTAGATCATGGCGTGAAACGAGTTTCCGTTAATTTACAAGGATGGAAATGGTAAAAAACTATGAGTCAATTAGAAATCAGTCACAGAATGAAATTTGGAAAATTCGCAAACATGTGGAAATTAAATAATACATTCCTAAATGACCAGTGTATCAAGAGAAAGAAAGAAATCACAAAGGGAATTAGAGCAAAAGTTGGAATCGAGATACACCTTCCCCGAGAGCTTCAGAAGGCGGTGTTTGTGTGGAGCACAATTTGCAAAATACCATGCCGGGGGGGGACACACGTTGCTTTGGAAACCGTGCTGGCAGGGGTCACGAAGCAGGGGCCGTGCTGAGGTGGGCTTTATCCCTGCGCCCCAGGCCCCAGTTCAAGACCTGAGTCTGCCATGAAGGCATCCACTGCTCCTTTTGATTGTGAGGTTTCCCAGCCAGGATCCCAGCGTTGGGGCCCACACATCCCAATAACGTGCCAGCTGCTTACCTTTGCCAACCAACGAATTGGAAATCGGTCTCCTCCCTCCTTGCTGACGTATCCCCCCAACCCCAGCCCCCAGCCCCGGAAGCTTCAGCTTCCAGAGGTCCTTGCTGGTGTGCAGGGTGGGATCGGGGGCGTGTACAGGGTTGGGTGGTGGTACGGGGCTCCTGGAGGACAGGGGGCTGGACTAGGTGTTCCTCGTCATCATCTGCCGCAATCCCTTTTCTGCGGTGAGTGTTTCTGAAATCCTGTTGGCAAATGTCCCCTTGCTCCTTGGGTTCCTCTGATTGTGGTGATGGTGGCGGCAGTGTGTGTGTTTCACACGCATGCTCTCAGCTCTCAAAATGAAAGAATCTCACGATCTTTATTTAGGTCTATATAAAAATACAGTACGTCTCATGCACCAGTGTGGCCGATACACAGCCATTACCCCTAGAGCAGTCATGGCAACGACAGGAGATATAGAAGATTACAGGAATTGGTTCATTCCACTAAAACACCTGAATTAAAATTGTTAACCTACATGGCAATCTTATTATGCAAAAAAAAAAAAATCTTATACGTTTTGGAGAGCTAGAAATGTGTAAGTACTATTAGTAACAAAAATTATGAGGAACTAGTCATTGGTTAAAAATAAAGTCAGTGTTATCTACAATCCCCGGACGAGGGAGGGGCCTTGCCAGAGTGGGGACCTCAGTCACGGCCACGGGTGAGTTGGAGGGTTTGCCTCCTTCCCCTCCGGTGTGTTGGCGGTGGAGCGAGCCACGTGTGGCTGGAAGTGGGAGATGCACAGAGGGCTGCAGGGCTTGGGTCGGGCAGAGGCCGTGCCTTCCGCAGGGGGTGCCCGAGGGGCGGGGCCCTGCTGGGGATCCCTGAGATGTGGCAACAACAAGATGTAAAGGCAGATTGCCTGGCTCCATTGTGCAGTGATCTTTGGGTTCGGGCATTGGCTGGAGTTGCTTATTGCTGTGGGTTATAACTTGAGTGCCTCTTAGTCGAGAGATGAGAGGGAGAGAGAGACGAGAGAGCGTGCGTGAGTGACCAGGCGAGGCGGAGACGGGGAAAGGTGCTGTGCTCGGGAGCCTCTGCTCTCACTCCCCAGGCCGAACTGGTGTCAGTGAGTCTCCAGTTGGGGTCACCGCTACTCTAGGCCCTCTCCGGAGGGGGAGGGTATGGGCGTGGAGGTGGCCCTCACCCTAGGATCTGTCATGCGTGGTCTCCACTCCCCTCCAAGATGAATTCACAGTTACTATGAGGTTCAGCCAGCCATTTCCCTGACTTCAGTTGGATTTGCATCGCTCAGTGCAGTGCAGTTACTGGTGAGGCAGGCGAGTGAGGTCGCCTGAGGACCCAAGGTTGGGAGCTGCCTAGGAGTGGGGGGAGGGGGGGCTTGGGAGGTGTGAGGACGTTGCAGCAGGGCAGGTGCGGTGCACAGTCCCAGCTCCCTTTGGACTGGGCTGCAGGGAGTGCCACCCACAGGTCACGCTGTCCTGCCTGTTGCTCCCTGGCGGACAGGCGCCAGGGCCTCGCCAGCATCACCAGAGGGTTTAGGGACCTCAGGGGAAGACCTCTCCCTGGGAGTGAAACATAAGCTCTTAGAGGAGCCAGAGAAAAAGTCTCCGAGTTGGACCTGTGGTCCCTGGTGCCAGGGTTACGTGGACGCCCAAGCCCAGACAGAACACCAGCTTGGGTTTTCCAGCATTTTCGGGGTAGCCATCCCTGAAGTGTGTTCCCAAACATTTCAGGGACCCAAGCTGGTGAGGTTGCTGGGGCCCACCAGGAGGCGCTGCTGGGCTGGGGCGTCAGTGCTGTGGCTCAGGGCCTGGTGTCCAGTGGCTGGGGCTGCAGGGGTGGGGGTCCCCAGGCTGAGAGGCTCGCAGGCCCTAATATCCTAGCTCCTCCCGGGAGTCCGTGCTGTACAGTTCGGCCAGCATCTTGAACCTGGGCCCCCAGTCGTTGAGGAAGTCGTAGTCGATGTCGGAGTTGGAGGAGTGGGTGCCCAGGGAGCTAAGGGACTCGGCGATGGACTCGGAGCCCTCATAGTCGAACAGGTGCAGCGTGTCGTAGGGCAGGCAGCTGCTGTCGTGGTCCGCCTCGTCCTTTTTCACCTCAATCACAGCGGCCATGTCCCCGGGCTCGCTGTGCTTGAGGAGGGGCGTGTGCCGCGGAGGCTTCTGCACCTGCGCGTACACTAAGGGCGGCACGTCCCGCCCGGGGCGTGGGGGCTTGGCTCCACGGTGGCGCGCGGAATTGAGCACTGACACGTCGTAGCTGGTGGTGTCCATCTCTCCACCACCCTCCTCGTCGTAGGTGACCAGCTGCTCGTGGATCTCCAGCACGCTTTTGCCCTGAGCACGGGCTTGCTTCCGGAGCCGCCGCCGCAGGAAGATGAGGAGGGTGATCACTGCAGGCAGCAAGCGGTCAGAGGGAGTCAGATGCGGCCCAGCCGCCAGCTGTCCCCGACCTGCTGGGTCTCCCCTGCACCCTCCTCTCTTCCCTCTCTTCCCTGGGCATTCGTCCGACTCGCCAGTGACACCCCAGCCCCACACTGGCTTGCTTTGGTCCAGACCCTGGAGGGTCCACTTCCCCACCTCTGCAGGTGGGAGTCTCTGCCCCATCTTGCCCCGATGTGGTCCTGGCTGGCTTTCCCAGCCACTGGCCGGGTGGGAGGGAGAGAGGCACTAACTGGGCCTCCCTCAAGGTCATTCTCTCCTTCAGTCCTAGCCTCATGGCCTGCATCCTCACCCCCTCCCTTCTCATGCCACTGTGGAAAGCCCTCTGTCCCTTCTGAGGGCCAGCAGGCCAGCGGTCAGGGCAGAAACGGGGAAAGGGTGGAGCTGGGATTTGGAGTGCCCAGATTTGGAGCCGTGGCTTCGGGATGGATAGCGGTGGTGCCGGCAGACACACACTCACTGTAGGGGCCGCAGCCACTCTTGAGCACCTGCTGTATACGTGCTGGCATATGATTGGCACATTTTTATGTTATCCCACCCGGGGCAGTGATTTGTATTCCACGTTCGAGTTAAGCAAACAGTTTGCTCAGGGAGGCTGAGGGATTTGCAGGATCTCACGGCCAGGCAGTGGTGTCGACTCCGACCCTGCTCAGGGCTCTGAGCGGGGTGGGTGTGTGAGAGTCTCACCCCTGAGCAGGGCTGGGCCGTGTGGTGCAGACAGCTTCTAAAATTAGGCGCAGGCCATCCCCCAGGCTCTGTCCTTCTAGCTGTGAGTTACTGAACAAACCATCGCACACACCAGTGAAGCTGGGACACCCTCTCTGATCCTCAGCTTTCTCGTCTGTAAAGCAGAAATGACGACATCTCTGCTCTGTTTGTGTCTGGTCAGGTGGTTCTAAGGTTAGTGCAATTCTGTGTGTGGTGGCGGTGCCCCTGTCCTTATTGTTACTCATTGTTACTCACAGGGGAACCTGGGCCTGGACCCTCCGCCACAGGAGCCCCCCAGAAGAGCAGCACACTCTTCTGGAGCACAGAAGAGGGCAAGGGCCCTCTGGGGGTGGGGCTCCTGGCAGGAAAGGCCTGGGGTGGTCACGTGGGCCCGTCCCTGCTGTGCACAGGCCGGTGGTCTCTGGCTGCCTGTGGGTGTCCCCTGGGGGACCCCATCCATGGCAGGTGAAGTGCAGGAGAATTTGAACCTCTAGGAGGAGCCCCCCCACCCAGCTGGTGGGAGTTGGTGGGTGAACATCGGCTGTGAGTGCCACGCGGCCCCCCAGGCCCCAGGGGCAGGAAGGCCCAGGGACCCTCGGGGGTAGCTTGTGTGCAAATGCACCCTTTATCCACCGCCTCCCTTCCCCGTCTCAGGCCTCCTCTTCCTTCCGGGCTTCCTGGGAGCACCTCCCCAGTAAACCACTCGTACCCCATTCCTTGTCCAAAATGCTCCTAAAATTTTGGGGGCCCAACAAGAAAAAACATATTGAGGCAGGAGGAATCCTAGGAAAGGGACTAAAGCTCCCGGAGAGAATCTGAACGAGAAGTTTTTAAATTCTGCTTTTCTTTCCAAAAGATGAACGGAATCCTCTGTTTTCAAAATAGGTTTCATGTAAGTGAACTTGTAGGACAGTGCCTGGCCCACAGTTCAAACCACCTCCCTCGCTCGCCCCTCGTCCACCCACGTCCGCAGGCGCCCCGGGAGGTGGAGCTGGCAGCCCCATGTCCCATTGCGGCCCCGGCAGGGCGCTGGCCCAGGGATGCACTGTGGGCTGGAGGCAGGACCAGGCCTGGGACCCTGGCCTCTTCCTCCTCTGGAGCAGCCCCCTTAGCGTCCCTGCGCCACCCTCCTGGGCACTAACCTGTGATGGTGAGAATGCAGAGGAAGATGGCTACCAGCGCCTGGATGCTGACGCCCACCTGGGGAGCCACCTCCTCGCAGAAGGTGACTTCGCCACGCTCGTTGCACTTGCACACCGGCACAGCCAGCGTGTTCGTGCTTGTGAGGCTGGGGTTCCCGTTGTCCGAGATGATCACGGGCAGGTAGTGGACCTTGGTGTGCTCCCGGTCAAACTGCCCATACTTAACTGTGATGTTGGCCGTGTTATCTGGAAGCACCAGGGCCTCAGAGTCAGGTTGTGCTGCCTGGAGTGCCCGTCCCCTTGTCCACACTGACAGTGGTCTTCCTCCTCCAGGGAGTCCTCTCTGATTGTGCCAGCCACGTGCCACCTTGGGTGTTTCTGTGTCCTTTCCATCCCCTGCCTTATGTTTCAGCCATTTGAGCCCAAGTCTGTTCCTCTAGAGAGGGGATATTTTGGGCAGCAACTTGGACTTAGCTACTAAGGATGGCTTGGCCAGAATGTAAAATCCTTGCTTTCCATTTCTGTGGGCAACTGATAATCCTGACCCCTCCCTCCCTAACTTTAATAATAGTCGACTCTCTTTAGCTCAATTAATGAATGTATTATTTCAAGCTTTGACAAGTAATCAAGGGGGAAATGAAGTTTTAAAAAGTCTTTTAGCATCAGACTAACTTCTGAGGCTCTTCCTGTTATCCTTGCAAATTGGTTAGAAACTGAAAACAATGCTTGTGTTCCCAGAGGTGCTGAGGGAATGATTACATACAGAACTGAGAGTATTTGAGGCAGGCCGGAATTGGGACTGTGCTTTGGCCCAAATACTCGCCCTCCCTCCTAGCTCCCATCAGTGGTTTCCTGCACAGAACTCCCCAGGGGGCTTTTTAAACCTGCTGATTCTCACAATCCCTCCCCGCCTCTGCCACCTTCCCTTTCCCTCTTTCCACACTTCTGATTCAGTGGCTTCAGGCAGAGGTCAGGTAATGTGCCTTTTGAAGGTTCCCTGAGAGGTCATGATGCTGATGGTCAGGGGTGGGCCCAGGAGGGGGAATTTGACCAGCTGTGTAGGATCAGCCCACTCAGAAAGCCAGCTGAAAGCAAAGGAGGTCATCTTTTGGATTTCAAATGAAAGCCAGTTATATTGCATTATTAAGTAGCCTTGTCTGTTACAATGGAGAGTAAACACTATGGGCGCTGACACTTTGTGAGAAATGAGAGGTTTCTCACTATCCTCACTTAATGCTGTGGGGGCACGTCCGTGCTCTCAGCGAGTCCAGGACCAACAAGCTTGCCTCCTGCTGCACCTGGGTGTCTTCGGCGCAGCGCTTCAGCTTTCTACCCTATTGCAGACCCCCTGGGAGGTGGGGTTAAGGCAGGTCTTGGGGATGGGGTAGTGGGTATTTTTGCCACATTATTAGTAATAAAGACACCTGAGCACGGATGGTGTGTCACTGGTTGTCACCATGTCACGGCCCCCTTCCCCATCCCACAGGAGGGAGGCTGCGGCTGGTCCTCTGGGTCTGCCCCCACCTTCAGAGACCCCACTTCCTGCCTTCCCCCGCGGTTGCAGTGGCTGTTTCCGTACAGGGATCCTCATCAACAACAGTTTTGGTAGTCAGGAAAAGGCAGGGATTCCACCCCGTGCTGGGTGAAGGATTGCTCTATTTAGATTTAAGGGAATTTTTTTTCCCTATTTTTCTGAGGAAGCTGCTGAAGCTATGGAAACCTGTCTACCGTTGGCTGCTGGAATTCAATCAACTCAGCGTGGCCTGTCTCCTAAGCACAGACGCGTCAGAAGCTCTGATTGGCTACTACGGACATCCCAGGACTCTCTGGGCTGTGATTGGTGGACCAGACTCTGTCCCAGGCCCCCTTGGTGGTAAGTAATTACTGTAATTGAATTAAGACAAAGTTTTCTGTGTCCTTGGCATTTTGGATTTCACATTTCTGGCTGTGACTCTTTGGGAGTGACCTCAGAGTTCCGTGTCATAGAGTAATTTGGAGTTGTGCTGAGCTCGGAGATTCGGTGTGAGAGGAGTCCCTGGGCTAGTTCATGGGCAGAGCTGCCTGCCTGCACCCTTATCGATTCTGTGCACCTAGCATCCTATGGGGAATGGCAGGCCATGTGAGGGCCTGCCCCCACTATGTTGGCTTGGCCCTTGGCCCTGGTACATCAAGACTCAAATAAGCCCACCCTTGACCCCACCAAGACCGGGCTGGCTACTTTCATGTGTACATACCGTGATTGTCCGTGAGGGTGAAGTTGCTGTCTTCAGTGCCCAGGGAAAATTTGAACTTCACGTTCTTTGGTGTTACGTCCTTGTCTGTTGCCGAGATTTGCATCACCAGCTGGAGCACAGAATATGGGGAATGGTCAGCGATGGTGTTGGGGTGGCCTGGGGTTCAGTGATGGGGACTTGGGGTTTAGACTTGACCATGGCTGCCTCTCACTTGCAACACTAACTTAAGTCATCTCCACAAAGATACTCTTTGTACCAGCCCCCTCCCCTCCATGTATTTTCCCTGAGCCTCAGTTTCTCCATCTGTGAAGTGGGGACAATGTCACCTTTCCTCAAGGCTGTTGTGCAGGTTACATTCAGCAGCTGACCATGGGTGGGAGGTGCTGCTCTGAAGCCCACCCCAAGGTGGGAGGCAGCACCTTGCCGCCCACCTGAGCCAGACTCACCTTGCCCTGAGGAGCATTCTCGCACACTTTGGGAGCGTCGGGCAGGGCGAGCTCCGGGGCATTGTCGTTCTCATCCAGAACTTCGATGTGGACCTGTACGATGGATTCTTTGCCTGTGGGGCTCCCTGAAGGGGGAAAGGACTCGTCACCTCAAGTGGCTCAGATGATGTGTGGGTGGGGATTCCTGGAGGGGTGCCCTTTTAACAGGGAGAGGGGACTGTGGCCCTCCGGGAGAAGCCAGGGGTGGCGTTCCGGATGAGAGGAGTGGGACAGGTGGGGGTCAGGCTTCATGCACAAGGGTGCCTGAATTATTTGCAAGAATAAAAAGGCAACCTAAGTGAATTTAAAATGGCTTTAATCAAATTAATTGAATTAAGGAATCGTTAAACTAATCTAATGATTTGATTAAGTAATTAATTTAAACAAATGTGATTTATTAAATTAATTACAAGATGATTTAAAAGGTAAACAACCTAAGTGAGATCGGGTTAATAAATTATATCACTTGAAAAAAATGGACTATGGGACTGTTTATAATGCCCATGTAAATTACATTTTAAAATGTAATTAAGAAAAGGACATTTTAGTACCATAAGAAAATGGTTGTGGAATAAGGTGAAGTAAAACTGCAGGGTATGATTTTACATAATATTATAAACTCACTGGAACATAAAGCGCCCCCAAACACGGTCATCCAAAATCCGTGATAATAAGGATCACTTGGCACTGGTTCAGCGTATATTCCTTTGCCCCATTTCTGGCTCATTGGACCTGAACCTGCAGGGAGGGCCCTGAGGAGCTCTGTGCTAAGGGGTGCCCTAGGTGATTCTCCTTGGAGGGACATCGGCATCCTGTTTATTAGCAGTGCTTCCTCAACTGTACTGTGCTTGAGATTCTGGTCCGGTCTGGGCCTGGCATTGGCCCTTACGACAAAGTCTCAGAGGCTATGCGTGCTCCCGGTCTCTCCACACTTGGGGACGAAGGCTCCGTAGCATCCAGCCCAGTGGTGCTTCAGGAGGAGCTTCTACTCCCGCCAGAGACCCACCAGGACAGATTGTGACAATCCTGAATGAATGAGGGCAAGGAACAAAGGTACCCTGGCGGATGGGGCTACTCACCATTCGGATATAGTTCTTTGGCCTCCACAGTCAGGTTATACCAGGGGTAGATTTCTCTGTCCAGTTCTTTGTTGTTGAATATGATTCCCTGCTTGTTTACTTGGAAGAACTGGCCCTTGTCACTGGTCTTGCGGATGGAGTATCTGCCCGGGGGAAAGAGATTCATGACTTTCTGTTCTCTGCTGAGTCCGGATCCCTAGCACGAGAGACAAGGGCCTCCAGGATCTGTCCTTGGCATCCTCCTCGTCTTCCTCTCTCTGCCCATCACACCCTACCGTCCAGAGGGGTTCAGAGCAGTGAGGTGACCCCTTGGCTTTTAGCAATGGTGCCGTTCCAGGCTGAGGGCAGTGCCTGAGATCCCACCAGCAGCCTTTCCAGGGCTGTGGCAGGCGGCGCTGTGATCAGCTGCACTGCAGCTGGGACTTGTTTGTGACGGATGAAAAGGTAGTTGGGGAAGACCCAGGAAGAAATAAAGAAGGAGCTGGAAGAGATAAGCAGTGAGTGAAAGGCAATTCAATTCGTCAAGTAAAAATTCGAACAGTTCTTCGAGACATCAAAAACAAAGGTAAGAATAGGTGAAAAGAGAGAGGAAAAAATATAATGACATCACATATATTTGGAATATTTGCCTCTACTGACAAAAACTCCAGAACAGATGGAGCAGAAGAAGCAAAAGGTACAATAAAAGAAAACTTCACGGACCCGGGGAAAGGCTCGCATTGACAGATTAAAAGAGGCAATGATGTTAGGCACGGCTTTAAAAAGAGGTCAGTATTTAGGTAGATGCTGTCGATACCTTTGAGTTGCAAGTCTGTGCACAATAAGATAAACGAAGTACAATGAAACACATCATTTATGGTGGAAAACGTGAATAGGTTCAACACTACGCGTCCCAGTTTAGATGGAAAAGCAGAGCCAACTGCAGTGTGTTTCTGAACGACAACGTAGTGCCAAAGAACCCAGGAAGGTTGAAAGGAGAGGGTAGAACGTCATTGGGCAAACACACGTGACATCAACACGGGCCCGGTAAACTCAACGCTGGGCACCGCGGAGTCGAAGGCAGAGTGTGGGAGCTGTGTAGACTGGGTGTCATCGTGGGGATGGAGGTTCCACGCCATGACGAAGGTAAAATAGGTATGAACCCTTGTGAATAGTATCAGCGTTAAAATACACAAAATATTCCAGGGAAAAAAATGAACACAAATACAATTGTGTTGTATCACGAAACAAGTTAAAGCAAAAATACAAAATACCCTACCACTCGCAAATGGAAAGAAAAAAAATAAATCTCTTGAGTAAACCCTTGGATTAGTGAAGAAATACCAGGGATCATCACAGACTGTTTAGAGTAGAATGGCTATGAAAACAGGAGACCCCAAACTTACGTGATGTGGCCCAAATGGAGGGACATGTTTTGTCCTTAATAAGAAGACCTGACAACATGGAAACATTAACTCCTCCAAAACTGATATGTAAACACAATTCTCTTTAGAATTCCAATTGTTTTTTTTTAAATCTGATGAAGAATTTGAAAGTTCATATGAAAAAAAGAGTGTTTTGGAGTGCATAAAGTTATGTAAAGTAGCCCTGACCGGTGCGGCTCAGTGGGTTGGGCGTTCTCCCAGGAAGCAAAAGGTCGCTGGTTCGATTCCTGGTCAGGGCACATCCCTGGGTTTGCGGGCCCTGATCCCGGGTGGGGGTGTGCGAGAGGCAACTAATAGATGTTTCTCTCTTGCATTGATCTTTCTCTCCCTTTCTCCCTCCCTTCCCCTCTCTCTAAAAATTAAATAAAATCTTTTTTAAAATTATGTAAAGTAAAAAAGAAACAACTACCAGTGAGTGAGGGGCTTGCCTTAGACACACGAAGTTTCAGTGTAAAGCTGCTACAATAAAGCGAAAAGGCTTAGCCACAGAACAGCTAGAACAGAGGATTCAGAAATAGACTCAGGTATATATAGGAGCTTAGTGCACAAGGAAGACCAGAAAACGATGAGTCATTCCAGTGCTGCTGGCACAGCTGGCCACTCCTTTGGAATAAAGTGAGATTGGATTGAATCCATGTGTACTGTCCAACGTTAAGTGCCTCTAGGAAGTAAGAGTCAGAGCTCTATCTTCTGTCCCGGGGGTAGAAGAGAGGAGTCTGGTAGAGACAGAAGAACGACTAGTGATGAAATAAATGGGCATCGTATAATCCAAAAAAAATTTCTTTACACAAACGCCTGAACCAGACAAGCACACAACAAATCCTTCACGAGTGATGAGTGTATCCCAATGTTTGTGTGGCTGGGAAGGAAGGCGTTTGGTGAACCTGCGTGATCGGGGGGTGGGGTCTACAGGTGTTCCTTTGTCGATCGCTGCGTTGTTCCTCTGTGAAGTGAACATGCGTTCCTCTCATGGTTTGGGGAAGAAAACTGAGATAAAACATGTTTGGTGAAGAGGACTCACTTATACCATCTATCTGGTTGCCCTCTCCACCATCAGATCTCCCTAGACTGGGCCTGCAGGGAGCCAGGGTCCACAGAACAGGCCCCTCAAGGTCAAGCAGCTCCGATGGCCGGGGCTAGGTGGGTGCTCGGGCAGCACAAGAGCCCACGAGGCCACGTGGGCCAGTGGAAGAGCTGGGGCTACTAGTCCCGTCTCTGCCACTCTTCCCACGTAGGTGCTGGGAGAAGCGGGTTGTTTCTGCTTTGACTCCTGGGTCTCAGTCCAGTGGGCGGAAGAACCTCAAGGTCAAGATTGGCGTGATCACCCCCTTCCTCCCTCCTCCTTACCCAATGCTCCGCCGCGTGGCGTCGGGGTCCTTGGCCACCACTGAGCCGACGGAAGGCTTCTTCTGGTTCTCCGGCAGCCGGAAGTGGTAGAAGGGCTTCTGGAAGACGGGGGGCTCGTCCACGTCGGTGACGTTGATGGTGACGACGGCCTTGTTTTTGCCGGGGTGGTTCAGGTTTCTCGTGTAGTAGAGGTTGATGGTGGGGTCCGTGGCCTCGATGGTGAAGGTGTAATGCTGGATGTATTCGTAGTCCAGGGGCTGTGGCGGGGGGGTGGGGGGTGGAAATAGGGAAAGTTCGGTGAGCCCCCGTTCAGAGCCAGGCACGGGGTGCATGGTCTGTATAGCAACCCCGTGGTGTAGTTCTGGGATGAGACCCGTGTTACAGGCGAGAGGCCTGAAGCCTGGAGAACTGATAGGTCCAAGGTCACCAAGAGAGTGGCTGGGTCTGGCCGTCTCCAGCTGCCCCCGTCCCGTCATTCCATCTCAGCGGCTTTGCGGCCGCACCTGCCGGCCTGGCTCTGTGCCTGGCCGTGCTCCGAGTACTGGGGGCACACAGGGTCAGCCCCGGGCATGCTCCCAAGGGGTCAAAGACTAGGGGTTGCAGCCACGGCTCCTTAGGGGTGAGTCTTCTCGCGTGTTTCTGCTCAAGAATCTCCCCGTGCCCGCCTCCTCCTCTCACCCCTCCCGAAGCCAGGTGGGAGGCCGTCAGGTGTTCTCTCAGAGCCCATCCCAGTCCCTCCTGACACAGGAAATGCCCCTGTGCGGCCCGCTGTGGCACTGCCCTCCCCACCCTTCTCGTCTCCGCGTGTCTTCCCTGCTCGCTGAGAACTTGGTACCGTGCAGGCTAACACCCTTGGGTGTCTGCAGCCCCTAGCGCAGGGCTGGGCCAGAGACAGACTCAGGAGAGGTCTGCTAGAGGTCTGGCTCGGGCAGAAGGGTTCTGGAATGTCCTGTCTGAGGTGGATCGTCTCTGACTTAGGCCTCCAGTCCTCCGCATGGACATTCTGGAGGCACTTGGTGCCCCTGGCAGGACCTCCGCCCCCCCCCCCGCCCCCCTTCCAGATTCAGTCCCTCTGGCGGCTCTGGCTGTCAGCAGCCACTGCCAGCGACCATGGATATCCCCACGGCGCTCACTGCTTCCTAGTGAGCTGGGGGCTTTGTGCCGCACACACCTGCAGCTCTGTCGGCGCTCTAGTGGGTGGTGCCCGGGGCAGGCTGGAAGGTGCCAGGGAGTGAATGCCCCAGCAGCAGCCCTCAGTCCACACCTTAGCTCACCCTCAGCTGCTGCAGCTCTGAGGCAGTCGTTCCCCGGACGTCCCCAGTGGGACTGCGCCCTGTTGTCCACGGTGAGAACCCGCTCACTAAGGAGCCCAGCACCATCTTCCTCATTTTCATGTGTCTCTGCCCCCAGAGCTTCCTGGGATCACCTTCCAGATAAACTATTTACGCCCAAGTCCTTGCCTCACAGTCTGCTTCGGGGTAACCCAGCCTAAGGCACCGACCCTTCCCTCCTGGCTCCCCATCCCAGTTCCCGTGAGCACCCGGCCAGCTCCATGCCGGCCTGGACCACACCTCTGGTGGCCTCTGACCTGGCAGCAGCCCCTGTGCAAGTTCCGGGCATGCTGGGAGCCCCCAGCCCCACATCCGTCCCTGTTGCCCCAGGCCTGCAAACCTTCATGGGCTTGATGATACCCTTGTTGCGGGTGTGGTCCGTCTCGATCCTGAAGGTGTCCCTGAACTGGCCCTGCACGATGCTGTACTGGGTCATCCGGTTCTGGGGCTCGTCTGGGTCCTCAACGGACAGGAAGCCCAGGGGGCTGCCCACACGGATGTCTTCAGGCACCGCAAATGTGTATGCGTCTGATGTAAATAGGACGCCCCAGAGGGCATTGGGTTAATGAGACAGACAAGGCGATCATCCCTCCTACTACCCTGATGTATTCTTCTACAGGAAATGGGCATGGGGCAATAATAGTAACAATGAATAATAATGCCACTAGAATTTTGGGTCCCGAGGCAAAGTGATGTTGCTCTATCCTTCCTTCCCTCTTTCCTTCCTTCCTCCCAGCCAACTAATTATTGAGCACCTACTGTGTGCCAGGCACGTTGCTAGGGGAGTTATTCATTGACAAGAGAGACAAGGAGGTAAGTCCTGCTTTTGGGGAGCTTATGCTGTACACAGCGAGGCCACTTGAGGAACACTGGCCGCTCCTTGGGGTGGCTGAACCTGTGAGTTACGCCTCAGCAATGGGGACACAAGGGAAGAGCCTTCTGATGTCCTCCCCAGCGCGTGTGAAAAGCTCCTGCCAGACAGTTCTCCTTCTGGGGAGAATCAGTCTGTGGGTGGGGTCAGTGTCCTGAGTCAGGGGACAGCGGGACAGCCCCGGGAAATTGTGCAGGGGTGGGGAGCAGGGCCCCTCCCTTCACCAAAATGACTTCCCTGGGCCTTAGGCCCACCCTGGGGTGGGGGGAAAGATAGAGGGACTCCTAGCTCTGTCCTTGGGGTATCCCAGCCTCTGCCCTGCCCAGGGCCCCAGGGGAGGGGCTCACGCTGGGTGAAGATGGGGAAGTTGTCGTTGACGTCCTGCAGAGTGACCAGCACGGTGGCCGTGCCTGACTCCCCTCGGAGGCCTTGGGCGTCTCGTGCTTCCACCACGATCTCGTACCTGGCCTGCACCTCTCGGTCCAAGTCGTTGCTTTTTGTGTAAATGAGTCCTGCAAAAAGCGCCCCAGTAGGAGCCGGGTGACCCGGGGAGCTTGGAGAAAAGACTGCTGTCCAGGCCTCTCCGGAGAGCACCTGGCTTACAAGCACCCGGGTCATTCCAGGTGCAGCCAAGGCCGAGGGACACTGGTCAACCGCCCCCTCGCCTCCACGCCCTGCCCTTCGAGGCCAAAGCTGCCCAGACAGGTTGGTCAGTGTCAGCCGTGGCCGCCCGGAGCACCGCGTTGAGAAAGCGTGAGGCCACCCCGAGCCTCAGCACAGCGAGGGCGCTGCGCTGGATCGGCGACGCCTGCCTGGGCGCCGAGCAGCGTGTGGCGCTCTCGGGCCGTCTCTCCGGGCCTGGCCCACCGGGCTCCTGTCTTGCTCCCCAGACTCAGTCGTTACGGTCTGAGAAGTCACAGCGAGTGGGTAACTGCCGTGGCCAAGTGCTCTCAACCCGTTCTCTAACCCCCGCTTCACGGCAGCCGTACGGGGTGAGCGTCAGCGCCCCTGTTTGTCCGTGCGGGGACCCAGGCTGACAGAGGCGAGTTGACCGGCCCGAGGCCGTTAGAGCAGGTGAGCAGGAGAGCTGGCGGAGTGGGCTTGGAGGCCAGACCTCTCTGAGTCTGCGCCGGAGCTGCCGGCCAGCTCTCGCCCCGGCTCCTGTGTCAGCGCCTGGGTCCTGACCTGGTTCCCGGGACCGGAGTCCATGGCCTGGGTACCTGTCCGCTGCCTTCTAACCTCAGCCACCTTGTCTTGACATGCGATACGGACCACCTCCATAGGACGGTGTTGCTCAATGGTCGCCAACACCTGCCAGGTGGGACTTCCTGCAGCCCCTGCACCTGGATCATTCTCCCCTCCCCCCAAGCCACAGAGGGTTAGTCACACAGACCATTATTATCGATGCCAAAGTGTTCGCCTCCTCCCAGTATTTGGTACATGACGGAGGTGTGGTCTCCCACCGTGGGGTCATCTGCGTCCACTGCTGTCAGACGGATGACTGAGGTCCCTGTGGAGAGAGAGACCGGGGGTTGCAGCCTCGTGACTGCCAGCCCTTCCCCAGTCTCGGATGAAGGCAGATGGGGCTCGGGGTGTTCCCTGGACCCACCTCCCCCTGGTCCGGAGGGAGGAAAGGCCCTTTGTGTCCTGAGGAGCTGCATGGGGACAGAGCGCTGGCAGGGGTGGAGGCCCAGCCAGGTCGGCCTTGCAGGGGGCAGAGAGAACAGAACAGGTGGTTCTCATCGATGGGCACATGAGGGAGGGGTGCATGCTTGAGGTCATGAGGAGAAACCTGGGAGAGTGAGGGGCTGCTGCTTCCCTCCCCCGGAAGGGTGGAAGCAAGGGAATGGGAAGGTGCCCCCAAAGGGGCGGGCGTCACAGCTCTTCTTCCCTTGAACTTCAGGATCCCCATACTTAACAGGAAGGTCGGGTCCCCGGGCCAGGGACCCTGGACTAAGGGGTGGGGAAGGGAACCCTTTCCTGGCACCTCCTGGAGGCTTGGGGTAGAATTGAGGAATGAAGAGTAAACTCCGGAGGCCAGCGGTCCAGGCTGGAGACACGCCTTGGGGTGAGGGCTCTAGTCCTCTCCCTCTGCTCCTGCGTGGATCCTGGAGACGACTCTTGCCTTGGTGGCAGAGTTGGCATTATTCACGTGCAGAAGCTCTGCTCTTGCTGTTAGTCCTGAGAGTCAGAGCAGTGGGTGGGGTTTGCTCTAAAGAGTAATGGCATGTGTGTATCTCTGACGGTTAAGGCTCAGTCCATGACTGGGTCAGGGCTCAGGGCTCAGGGCTCAGCCCATGACTAGGGTCATCACAATCGCTGCCCTGAGCTCACTGGTCCTGGCGCCAGGCGGTGAAGCTGCAGGTGGAGAGGTGCCTTCAGGCTGGGGAGGAGGGAGAGAGAGGGGAGAGGGGCAGACGGAGCACATACCCGTGGTCGACATCTCGAGCACGGATGCGTTGAAAAACCGGTGGGTGAACACAGGCCACTTGTCGTTGACATCGTGCACTTTGATGGTGAAGCTGGAAGGAGACTCCAGGTCCTTGTTGGTGTTCTTGTCCACCACGAGGGCGGTGAGGTGGTACTCGGAGACCTTCTCCCTGTCCAGCCTCTCCAGAGCGTACACGTCCCCTGTGTCCTCGTTGACCCGGAAGACCTTGCCAACGTAATCTCCTTCGAGCAGGTACTTGGCATTCTTGCTGTTCACACTCGATTTGATCTAGGACAGAAGAGGTGCCCTGAGCCAGGAATGGGCAGTGCTGTGCGTAGTGTGTGTACACACGTGAGTGTGCAAGTGCACGCGGGCATGCATGCATGCATGCATGTGTACATGCACACACATGTGCACGTTGGTGCACATGTGTGTGGTATTGGGGATGTGCCACTGCCATTTTTAAAAGTAGAGTGGTTACACAATATCATGTTAGTCTGAGGTGTACCGCATGCTGATCCAACATTTATGTTCCTTACCATGCGATCTCCACACTAAGTCTAGTAACCACCTGTCACGGTACCAAGTTACCGTGACACTACTGACCGTCTTCGCTGTGCTGTGCACGACATCCTCACGACTTGGTCACGACTTGTAACTGCAGTCTGTGTCTCTTGTTCCCCTCCACCCTTTTCACTCAGGCCCCACCGCCCGCCCCTCTGGCAATGACCAGTTTGTTCTCTCTATGAGTTCTTTTTTTCTGGTTTGTGTTTTCTTAGATTCCACATGTAAGTGAAATAAGCTGTGTGTGTGTGCGCGCGCGTGTGTGTGTGTGTGTGTGTACACATCTTTTTTATCCATTCACCACCTATCTATGGGCGCCTGGGTTGCTTCTGTATCGTGGCTGTTGTGAATAACGCTGCACGAACATTAAGGGTGCACGTGTATTTTTGAATTAGTGTTTTTGTTTTTCTTTCGATGCATACCTAGGAATGGAATTGCAGGGTCATGTGGCAGTTCTGTTTTTAGTTTAATTAAACCTCATGCTCTTTTCCACAGCGGCTGCACCAGCCTGCATTCCCAGCCTGCATTCCCAGCAACAGCGCATGAGGGTTCCCTTTCCTCCACATCCTCCCCACACTTGTCGTTGGTTGTCTTTCTGAGGACAGCCATTCTGACAGGTGTGGGGTGGTGTCTCATTGTGGTTTTCATTTGCATTTCTCTGATGGTTAGGAACGGTGAGCACTTTTTCATGTCTGTTGGCCAAGAAAGAGTGGGTTGCAGACAGAAAAGGGAGCTTCCTGAAAGGTGTGGTCAAATCACATGAGGTCTGGGGTTGTCCCCCGGGTTTAGCAGTCCCTGGAGCCCCGGGTGGGAGCAGCACCCAGGGGGTGGTGGGGCGAGGGCACAGCGTGTGGAGAAAGAAGAGCCTGCAAGGTAAGGAAGTGGAGACGGGAGTGAGGACTCTCTCCTCGGGAGGGAGGGAGGGAGGCCGGGCAGCAGCAGGAGGTGCTGGAGCTTTCTGGAACAGGGCTGCGGGGTGCAGAGGCAGGAGGTCGTTTTGTGAGGAGGTCCTGAGGCTCAGTGGCTGAGTCATATGATGAGCAACTAGGCTCTGTAACCTGTGGTCTGAAGGGACAGCGAGGACTCAGGAGGAGGGATGGTTGGGGCCCTGCGGGAGCTGCCCAGGATCAGGATGAGACGGTGGCTTGGCTGTGCGTGGGTGTGCTGGGGTCTGCGGGGATGGGCAGGGAGCGGGAGTGAGTCAGCTTTGATCTGCTGTATTAGAACTCTGCGTAAGGCTTCATGTGGTTATGTTTCTGTGTTCCTTCCCCCAGCTTTTCTTAAATCGACTTTACTGTTTAGAAAATTTCAGATCCAGAGGAAAGTTGGAAAAGATGGCGCAGAGAGTTCTGGCATACCCTGCCTGCCTCCAGCATCTCCCCGTCACCAGCATCTCCCACGGGTCTGGCACCTTTGTTGTGATCAAATGAACGGCATCGGTGCATCCCTGCGGACGGAAGTCCCTTGCTTGTGCGCTGTTTCCGTCCTCAGACCCCACCCAGGACACCCCGTCGCGTCCAGTCGCTGTGTTTCTTTAAGCACCTCTGGGCTGGGGCGGCTTCTCAGGCCCGGCGGTGGCTTTGGCCCTGGTGTAGGTTGCCCTCCTGTGGGGATCTGTCTGACATTTTTCTCATGACGAGATGGCGGGTTATGGATTTTGTGGGGGGCCCCCCCTGCTGTAACAGTCACGTGTGTGGGCGCCATGTGTGGGCGTGCTCTTGCCCCCCACAGCCCGCCCGCTCCTGAGCCCCCACGGCCCGACTTCGGCCTCTCTGTGTGACTCATTTTCCGAGCCCAGGCCCCGCTGGTGCATGCTTCCTACCTCGGGGACTTTCTAAGGAAACTTTCTGTTATGAGAAAATAAATAAATACAAACCCCAATCATCACTGCATGTGGACAGAACCTCTACAGGACGGGTATGTGTGGGTTCAGAGGCCTGCCCAGGGTGCACTCCCATTGTCCCTCCCGCTCTGCAAACAAAGGCCCGCGCTCTGTCCTCGGTAAACAGGGACTTCCTTCCCTTAGGGGACGTCTTCAGGGGCCAAGAAGTGATCCTTGGAGCCCTGTTCTGGCCCCTCCCAGGCACCGTGTTTCTGTTCAGGGTGGGACCTGCTCATCGCTCCTCTGTCCCCCAGCTGCATGCGGGTGCCCAGTGGACCCTGGTGGCAGATGACGGCAGGCCTGATGCTCTTCCCCCCGCTCCCAGACCCTGGGGCGGTCCCTGTAAAGGTCTCTGTGTCAGGCTTCGCGTGACGCAGGTGTTTCTGTTTGCTGCTGATCCTCCCTGACTCATCCTTGGGTCCAGTCACTCTCTTCAGGGGATGATTCATGGCCTAATCATCCCGTTTTGAAGGACGTGGGTGGGAATGGCATTTTCCTCTATGACACAGGTGTTCAGATTCGTGATGGGAGTTAAGAGCCCTGTGCTTTCCTGGGGCTGCGTTCTCCTGAAGCTCTGTCCCGGGCAAGCGTCTTTTCCCCCTGAGTGGCCACGCTGAGGGGTTTAAACTTCCCAGTCATTCTTGGGGGCCAGGGGAGCCCAGGCACACAGTCCGCTGGCCGTGTTGCAAGTGGGTCCCCCTGGCTGCGGTGGCATTTCTGACGAGAGGCCAGGCTGGGCCCTCCTCCATCACAGAGTCCTGTCCAGCCTGTTTTCTACAACCATAGGGCTTCCCCAGCACCGCTGGTGGCAGAGTTCTCTGTCTCACGTGTGCTATGCTTCTAAGACGGGGGCGGGGGGGGGGGGGCAAACTGTTTCTGTAAAAGGCCAGATAGTAAGTATTTTCAACTCTGTAGGTCCTGTGGCCTTCATCACAACTGCTCCAATATGCCATTCTAGCATGAAAGCAGCCACCATGATTTGTAAGTGTGCGGGCATGACTCTGTTCCAATAAAACTTTATCTACAAAACCAGGTGGGGGGCCAGTTCTGCCAGCCCCTATTTTAGACCACAGGCTCTACAAGGATGGGGGCCGTGTTATCTTTGCCCATGGTGGTTGGCGCTGTATTTCCTCTCACGGTGCATCGATCTATTACTGCCTTGGCTAACCATGTTTAGGGTCCAAGTAGCTGACATGGTGGGATTGTACGCACTTGAAAGAAGTTTTTTCCCTCATTGAAAACTCTGAAAATACTTAGTCCATCTCCCTGTCCTTGTGTGTGAAATCCCCCACCAGAGCCACTTTTCCATTAGAATGGCTGGTTTGCACATCAGTGACGCTGTGACACAGTCGGGCAGTTCAGTCGCCACTCTGAGTTCTAGGACAGTGACGAGGGCTGACCGGGTTTTAAAGAGGAAGAAAGTAGGAGCTGGAGCCCCGGAGGGCAGGCTGGCTCCAGGCACCTTGTTGTGGGTGTTCTAGAAGCTGGGGCATTGTGTAGGGTGACAGAAAACTAGGAGGGATCGTCTCAGAGAGAGGCTTTTTGAGGAAGTTCAAAGGCCTGGACCAGGGATGGCAAACTATGGCCTGGATGATTAATTTTGTCACCAGCACAGTTTTGTAGAAGGTGCTCAGGTATTCCAGACCTCTCCTCCAGGAAACTTAGATGGCAGAGGTGGCTGGCTCTGGCCCTGAGCCCTGGACTGGTCTTTTCAGCCTGTGCATGGGGTGGTCCCTCCACCGGTGGTATTTGGTCCATGGACCGAGATCTGGGAGAAGATGTACCATAGCGTTCACCATCATTTCCACCACAACCGCGTCACCAACCCTGCGTCAGCACCACCATCATCACTGGCACAGTCCCTACGCTGCCACCACCACCACCACCACCAACAGCTTCCTCTTCCTCATCCTCACCACCACCACCACCACCACCACAGCCACCTCCATGATCACCATCACCACTTTCCTGCTTCCCCTTCCTCATCACCGTTCTCGCCGTCATCACCTCCATTATTACCGCCCGCCTTCCCCTTTCCCATCCCTCTCGTGGCCACCATCATCACCACCACCACCACAACCTTCCTCTTTGCCATCACCGTCATCACCACCACGGTCATCATCACGACATCCCTTTTCCCTTCGTTATCTCGACCACCACTACCCCTATGTCAGCCCCACCCCCATCAGCTCCACCCCCAGTGCCATTGCCCTCGCAACTGCCATCTCCACCCCTGCCGCCACCACCCTCTCTACCGCCACCACCATCCCCGTGGGCCACCTGCCGCCGAGGCCTCTCCTGCCCTGGGCCCGAGCCTCACCTTGCCCACGTAATGGGGCAGCGAGGTGTTTTTCTCCTCGTCAATGTGCATCTGGTTCCAGATCCAGTCTCTCTTCTGGCGCCGGTGGGTGGGCAGCATGCTGGGACTGTCCAGCTGGGCAGGGTCAGCGCTTGCGGCAGCTGCCGTCAGCAGGCCTAGGCAGGTGCCCACTGCGGCCAGTAGTATCAGGGGCAGGCGCATCTTCCGAGGAGGCACAGATCTGGGGAAGGAGAGGAGACACCATCAGGGCCTGTTGGTGGCCACCCGTGCGAGCGAGCAGCTCCCAGGGACAGCCGAGCTCCCCACATCTGTGCACGCCCTAACCCCTCACCCTCTGCTGGTACCCGCAGAGCTGACTCCGCTCCTGCCCCAGAGAGGAGCTGCAGGTCCGGGAGGGGAAGGCAGATGCAGAAAGAATTCCTGTGTAAGTGTCACATGTGGAAAGTCCAGGGATTAGACGTTTCTATAACCTTGTGATCATCCCCGATAAATCTAGGACCCGTCTGACACCATACACAGTTACTATGGTGTTATCGACTGTATCCCCTACACTGTGCTTTACATCCCCATGGCCATCCAGTTCCTTCCAGTTTGTGCTTGTTCATCTTTCCACCCTTTTCTCTGTGCCCCTCCAACACCCTCCCATCGGGCAATGGTCAGAATCTTCTCTGCATCTGTGAGTCTGTTTCTGTTCTGTTTTTCAGATTCCACGTATATGTGAAATCATGTAGCATTTGTTTTCCCTGACTTGTGTCACTTCACACAGTTCCCTCCATGTTCATCCACGTTGTTGCAGATGCAACATTTCATTCTGTTTTCTTTCATGGCTGAGTCCTATTCCATTGTATACATGCACCACTTCTTCTTCATCCGTTCATTCTATTGATGGACGGACACTTAGGTTGCTTCCATGTCTTGGCTATTGAAAATAGTGCTGCAGTTGCCCTGACCTGTGTGGCTCAGTTGGTTGAGCATGGTCCTGCAAAGCAAAAGATCACCGGTTTGATTCCTAGTCAGGGACCATGCTGGGGTGGTGGGCCACGTCCCTGGTTGGAACGTGTATGGGAGGCAACCGATGTTTCTGTTACACATCAGTGTCTACCTTCCTTTCTCCCTCTTGTCCCCTCCCGCTAAAAATAAAATAAATAAAATCTTTTAAAAAAGAAAACAATGCTGCAATGAACATATGGATATATATATCTTTTACATTTAGTGTTTTGGGTTTCTTCAAATAAATACCCAGAAGTGGAATTGCTGGGTCCTTCTTTGTCTCTTGTTAAAGTTTATTATTTATTTTTTTGCTGTAAGTATTGCTACCCCAGTTTTTTTTTAGATTGCAGTTTTCCTGAAATGTTTCTTTCCATCCCTTTGCTTTCAGTCTGTGTGTGTCTTTTGGTTGACGTGAGGGTCGTCTGAAGTGACAGCATATGTAAGGGTCTTGTTTTGTTACCCATTCAGCCACCGGATGTCTTTTGATTGGAGCATTTAATCCACTTGCAATTAAAGTAATTGTTGATATGAATTTATTGCCATTTTATTTTTTGTATTTTTGATTTTTTCTTCTTAAAGAAACCCCTTTAACATTTTTTAGAATACTGATTTGGTGGTACTGAACTCCTTCAACTTTTTCTTGTCTGGGAAGTTCTTTATCTGTCCTTCAATTCTAAATGATGCCTTGGCTTGGGAGAATACCCTGGGTTATAGGTCCTCGCTTTTCATCACTTTGAATATTTTGTGCCAGTCCCTTCTGGCCTGCCAACTTACTATTGAAAAATCAGCTGACATCTTATGGGAGTTCCCTTGTAGATAACTAACTGCTTTTCTCTTGCTGCTTTTAAGATTCTCTCTTTATCTTTACCTTTGGCACTTTAATGATGCTGTGTCTTGGTGTGGGCCTCTTTGCATCCATCTTGTTTGGGACTCTCTGCACTTCTTGGACTTGTGTGTCTATTTTCTTCACCAGGTTAGGGAAGCTTTAGGTCATTGTTTTTTCAAATAGGTTTTCAGTTCTTGCTCTCTATCTTTTCCTTCTGGAACCCCCATGGAGCAAACACTGGTATGCTTGACATTGTCCCAGAGGCTCCTTATACTGTCCTCATTTTTTTAAAAATATTTTTTTTCTTTTTGCTGTTCTGATGGGGTGTTTTCTGCATCCTTATCTTCCAAATCACTGATTTGATCCTCTGCTTCATCTACTCCACTGTTGATTCCCTGTAGTGTATTCTTCATTTCAGTTATTATATTTTTCATTTCTGAATGGCTCTTTTTAATGTGTTCTGTCTCCACTGTTATCATTTCTAGCTCTTTGTTGCAGTTCTCACTAAGTTCACCTGCTCCTCCCCTAAGTTCACTGAGCATCCTCACATCCAGGGTATTGAGCTCTGTATCTGGTAGATTGCTCGTTTCCATTTTGTTTAGTTCTTTTTATGGAGTTTTGTTCTGTTCTTTCATTTGGGACATGTTTCTTTGTCTCCCCGTTTTGGCTGCCTACCTATATTTGTTTGTGTACTAGGAAGAGCTGCTACATCTCTCAGTCTGGGTAGAGTGGTCTTATGTAGTAGGTGTCCTGTAGGCCCCTAGGGTGCGGCCTCCCCGAGTACCTGAGTTGCTGCTCCAGGTGCTACCCCCGTGTGAGTTGTGTGTGCCCCCCTGTTGTAGTGGAGCCTAGATAGCTGTTGGCATGTCAGTGGGAGGGATTTACCCCCAGGCCAATCAGCTGCCAGGACTGGCTGTGTCTGCAGAGGAGAAGCTGCTATAGAGGTCCGCCCTGTGGAGCAGGACTTCCTACAGGGGGGCTCTGGTCCCCATTGGGTTTACCACTTGAGTGCGTTGTTCTAGAGGTGGTTAGGTGCTGCTGCAGCACAACCTGACGCTGTGCACCTGGTGTGCTGGCTGGGGCCTTTGGGGAGGGGCGGGCCAAGGTCAGTCACCACCTGCGCCCTGCCTAGGGCCACCTGACATGAGCTACAAAGCAATCTCCAGAAGGCGGCTGCTTGTGCCGGGCTTGGAGGTGCCTGGGAAAGCCAAGCTACGAACCAAGGCCAGCTGCCCCCAGCGAAGGGCCTGGGGCCACTTTGCAAAAAAGTACTGGGTGTGTTGAGGCCAGAAGCTCCTTGTTTGGGATTTTTGAACCTCTGAGAGATTTTAGGAAAGTCTGTAGCTTGAGCCAAGGCAGGCCTTTGTATGGAAATGGCCCTGGGAGCGGCTGGGGTCTGCTGCGAGTTGGGTGTGGTGGCGTCTCAGGGAATCACCAGGGCAGGGCAAACGGTGTTAGCCAGGTGGATGGAGCCTCCGGTATGGTGCCTGTCTGCCTGCTGTACGGTGGAGGGCTCAGCAAAGAACAATGGCCTCCGCGAGCACTTTTGTCTGGGAGAAAGCTGCCCCTCCAGCCCCCACCTTGAAGCCGGACCATTCAGTTCCTCCTTCTACGTCCTGGTGGCTTTCAGTCTGCTGCCCCGGCCCTAGAGCTTGTAGCTGCTGAGTGGGAGTCGGTCCGGATAGGGGAACCTCATGCACTGTCGGTGGGAATGCAGATGGTGCAGCCACTGTGGAAAGTGGTATGGACTGTCCTTGAAAAATTAAAAATGGGATCACTGTTGACCCAGTGATCCCACTGCTGGGAATCTATCTGGAAAAACCCAAAACACTAATTCAAAAGAATATATGCACCCTTAGGTTCATTGCCCTGTTATTTACAAAGCCGAGGTTTGGAAGCAGCCCGGGTGCCCATGAGTAGATGAGTGAATTAAAAAGCTGGGGCACATTTACACAAGGGAATACTACTCAGCTGTAAAACAAAACAAAACAAAATCTTACCTTTTGCCACAATAAGAATAGACCTAGAAATGATTAGGCTAAGTGAAACAAGCCAGTCAGAGGAAGACAAATACCATATGATCTCACTTATTTGTGGAATCCAATCAGCAAAATAATTTAACAAACAAAACAGAAACAGAAGCACAGATACAGAGAACAGGCTGATAGCTGTCAGAGGGGAGGGGGCCTAGGGGCTGGATGAAAAAAGGTGAACGGATTTAGCAAAAAAAAAAATGTATCTGACAGATAGACCCAGACAACGTGATGGTGATAACCAGAGGGAAAGGAGGGTGGGGGTAGGTGGGAGTGGGCAAAGCGGGGGAGTGGGGGTGGAAAGAGACTTGACTTGGGGTGGTACACGCACGATGGGACATACACGTGATGTTTGGTTGAGCTGTACCGTTGGAACCTATGTGGTTTTATTAACCAATGTCCCCCCAATACAGTCAATTAAAACAAAAAAACCCCCAAACAAACAAAAAAGAGAAACGCCTGGGACTCCAACAGCCCTCCGTCTCCCCCAGCCACAATCCCTGCTGGTTTCCACGGCCAGAAGTTAAGGGGCTCTTCTCTTCCTGGCACTGGCCTCCTGGGCTGGGGAGCTTGGTCTGGGGTTGAGACCCCTCGCTGCCCCGGGGGCACCCCTGTAGCCCAGGCACCCCTCTCGATTTTTAACTGCCACACGTGGGGGTGGGGCCAGCTGCTTCTGCCTCTCCACCCCTCCTCCCAGTCCCGGTGTGGTTTCCTCTTTACATCCTTGGTTACAGGACTTCTATTCAGCCAGACTGCAGGTGGTTCTTTCTGAATGATAGTTGTAATTCCGAAGTGGTCGTGGGAGGACGCCTGCACTGCGTTCACCTGCCGTTACCTTGACCGGGACCTACCGCTCTCGGTGGTCCCGGCAGCTGCTAGGACGTGGGATTTAAAGGCTCCTCTAAGTAAACCTGTGCCCCGGCCAGCCCGAGCGCCCCTGTGGGGCAGCATTGCCTTGGTGCTGTCTCGGAAGGCGCTGGGAACCCCAGACGTCTTAGCCCAGAGGGTCAGGCCTCACCCCAGAACTCACTGGAGGTGGTCAGCTCGGCCGCAGCCGCATGAGCAAGGGGGGTGGCGGGGCAGGGGGTCGAGCGTCTGGGCTCACGAGATGGGTGTCGTTGTGCTCAGGGCCCAGTGCTGAATTGAAATGTGCTGTCCTACGTTCAGAAGTTACTAGGAATCTCAAGATGGAGACAGAAGAATATGAAGCCAAGCATGGGGGGCTTTCAAGCACAGGGTCCCCGCCTTGCCCAGACTACAGGCCCTTGAAGGCAGGCCTCGGATCAGCCTGGGCTGGGTGGGACCTGGGGCCACCCCTTGGGGGGCCTGGCTTCCTCCAGAATCCGGGGAGAGGGATCGATTGCCCCACTG